TAGTGATTATAACCCTCACTAAGTAGAATTCTCCTTTCTGTGTTGCCAAGAAAGGGGGGCGGAAGCATAAGAGTGATACCATAGTTTCTTTTGCGCAGAACTTTTTTCTGCGTAGGCGGACTTCGGCCGCGCTTATGGATCATAACCCTTACTAATTAAAATTATCCTTTCAATGTTGCCAGACAATAAAAACACATCACTTTTTTCCACTTCAAAAACAAAATATTCGACTTCCTCCTATAAATTATTAATTTATTCATAAAAGGGCTTACAGAAATCATTAAAAGCTACACCTACTCTTCTTCCATAACCTCAATTTCAAAATCCTCTGCTTCTTCCGGCATGTATGGATTCAGTGGATTGTATAATGCACCAGCCAGTTTAAAAAAATTGCATGTTTGCAATGCCTCACAAACATAAATTTTGCCAAATATCCACTAAAAAACTTTTTATTTCGATGGTACTGCGGCATTGAATATTTGACATGCCGCCAAAGTCCCTCAATTGTATTTGTAACAACACCAAATGGGTCTTTAAAATTAACCGAATGGTTAACTTTAAAGTGAACGTACCCTTCATCACTTAGGCAGACATACGCCTGCAATGAAAAACATTTTAAATTTATATATATATATATTTATATTTATATACACATATATAGGCACTTAGGCATTAAACTCACCTTCCAAAAATCGGAAACTATGGTCGTGTTAGGAAGAATCAAATTCTTTATAACTGCCAATAAAGTTTCCTTATCCCGCGTTTCAACGGGAACAAGAAAACACTTATTGGTACCACGCTCCACTCCACCAAAAACCCATTGCCCTTCAACTGCGTGTCCACGATGATACTTCCGGCGTCCGAATTTGCTTGCGTCTATCTCAACAATAGACCCGACACCTCCAATTTTCCGCCCCTTTACAACCATGCCGTCATACACTACCTCACGGCAAAAATTACACCAATCACCTGCGGTCGGTCTTGTAATATTTAACTCCTCGATTATAAAATCTTGTGTAACATTCTTCAACCAAAAGTAAGAAAATGCAATGAGCTTCACCATCGATAGCCCCAACCTATCAAAGAATGTGTTTTTTCTTAATGAAATTTGCTGATTACACGTTCGCACTTGCTTTCCAGACTTCGAAATTTTACGGTACCTACACTTAAAATTTTGTTGTATTACAGTTTAATAGACATACGGTAAACTTACCTCCAAACGAATTCATCAGATGATGCAGGGTCTTCATGTGTCGGCATGGTATATTGATAGCTGCGGTCCAAGAGACGAAGTTGCACAGCAATTCAACTTTTCGTAAAGTGGGGGCTGTCCCCTTTCAAATAGGAGGGGTTGAGGGGCCCGCGCCCTCTCCCCCTCCGCCCCCCACCCCAGATGTGTTTGGGCTAGCAAAATATGAGCATATTTCAGCTTGGAGAACGCGCCTACTTGGCTGCTATATTTCTGACTATCTTAAAGTTAGAAATTGTATACTCATTTTTCGTCTCATGACAGATAAAGCTCCCAAATATCTATATGAAAAATTAACGTTCCCCAAATCAACTCGAGTAAAGGAGTGCTCGCGGAAGAGCCCTCGCCACGGCACGTCAGGATGCATCTTTACGAACTGACAGACGAAGTCCAGAGGTATATCAAACAACCTCTGGACCCGTGAACTTACCGACAGGCCCTGAACGGCATTCACAGGGAATCAGTCTTAAGTTATGTAGACTCCCGCCCTGTGAATGCCGTTCTAGGCACACAACCGGCGGACGTGGACGGGACAGAACTTTGTCTGCCTCGGGAGACCAGCACTACAATAGCCCAACTTCGCTCTGGCTATTGTAGCAGGCTCAACAGCTACCTGAGCGGAATCAACGAGGATGTGCCCAACCAATGCTCGGCATATGGAGAGTCGCCACATGACTCCCGGCACCTCTTCACATGCCCTGAGAATCCCACTCAGCTAACGCCCCTGTCCCTATGGACAGCCCCTATGGAAGTAGCACACTTCCTGGCCCTCCCCCTAGCTGAAATAGACGACAACGTTGATGGATGAAGCGCCCCGAACGGGGCTTAGTAGCCGCTACAACAACAACAACAACTTGACTGTTCCTACCTACAATTATCTCAGCTCTGCACAGCTATTCTCTGTCAATGCTATCCGCATCTGGAACTCTATTCCATCCCATATTCGCAGTAGTTTAAACAAAAGCAACTCTAAAAATGTTCTGTATGCGTATTTCCGTTAGCTTCACTTCAGTCCCTGCGATGTGCTCTCTATGTTGTTGTTGTATCCCCGTATCAGGGATCTCAACGCGGAGATTCGGCAACTTGTAAACGTACATAAGCGGAAGAAGTGGGAGGAGCATCTGAAGACT